TCAGGAATTCAGAGCACCCCTATGAAGCTGACTTTCCTCCACTTATATTCATCAGCCGAGAAAGGCAAGGACTTCTTCAAAAATAATATTTGGTGGTGGAGGCAAAGTCTATTAATGATATCTACGGATCAGCTCTTGAGTGCTCACTTGGAAGGACAGATCCTGAAGCTGAGGCTCCAATACTTTGGCCATATCATGAAAAGAGAAGACTCCCTGAAAAAGACCCTGATGTTGGGAAAGTGTGAAGGCAAGAGGAGAAGGGGACGACAGAGGACGAGATGGTTGGACAGGGTCAGTGAAGCGACCAACATGAATTTGACCCAGCTCTGGGAGGCAGTGGAAGACAGGAGGGCCTGGCGTGCTCTGGTCCATGGGGTCACGAAGAGTCGGACACGACTTAATGACTGAACAACAACAAAAAAATGGATCGTTAAACTGATAATGATTTTTCCTTGGGTACATATTTAAGATCCTCAGCATATTTAGGATTCCAAGGGGGCAAGCACCCTCTCTTGTTTTTCCCCCACAGACAATCATGAAGAGAGATGGGGTATAAAAGCCAAATAGACTGAGCCTGTGGCTGGTAAAGTTCTCTCCAAAAGATCAGCATAGTGAGGAGATAGCCTTTCCTTTCTCAGATGTTAATAAGTTACAACACAATAGTCCCAATGCAAATTCTTGGGGCACCCCGTTCAAATTTCTCCATTACAGGATAATTTATAATTTGTACTTTCTGCTTTCTCCTCTTTAAACAGTTGCCGATCCATAAGAAGAACTATCCTATTATATGATAGATATATTTGATATATCTATATCCACTCATGGAAAAGGCTTCAGGAGTTAACCTCGAGGCAAAATAGACTGAGCCTGTGGCTGGTAAAGTTCTCTCCAAAAGATCAGCATAGTGAGGAGATAGCCTTTCCTTTCTCAGATGTTAATAAGTTACAACACAATAGTCCCAATGCAAATTCTTGGGGCACCCCGTTCAAATTTCTCCATTACAGGATAATTTATAATTTGTACTTTCTGCTTTGTCCTCTTTAAACAGTTGCCGATCCATAAGAAGAACTGTCCTATTATGTGATAGATATATTTGATTGGAAGCCTTTAGCAATGATTTTGTCCAAAAAATTCCTTGAAAATGCAAGCAGAAAATATCTGCCAGTGGTATGGGAAATTTGTGGCCTTCCAGATATTGCTACTGCAACTCCAATCAGCCCTGACTGGCACAACTAATGATAAGGGATGCTAAGAGTTGCAGCCCAACAATGTTTGAAAGGCCATAGATAGGTTCATCATCCCTGATCTATGAGATCATCCTTATCTGGTGTCAGACTTAGGCTGAAGTTAAGTAAGGCACAGTCTCGGATTACGAGGAGACCTCTAAATAATAACAAAAACAATTACTTCATTTCAAAGTGTTTTTTTTTGTAGTATACATATTTAGTAGTGCTGTGGAGGTTCTTAGATTCAACGTATTTAAGGCCATCAGCATGTATTGATTTAGGTTTGCCCGTGTGCGTATATGTTGACATTTTCAAGGGATTCTGAATGGCAGTGACTGAGGACATAGCATTGTAGAAGTGATGTTGACCTCTTTTACAGCAAGACTTGTCCTTCTATAATCTTGGCAATGACATACATGATAAAATATAAACTTACCTCTCCTTTTTGCTGCACTATGACAAATGTGTGCAAAATAGCATTCCCAATACTGTATCAACTGTAATAATTTTTGAAAATCATATCATGTTTTTGTTTGTTATTGTTAAGTCGTGTCTGACTCTTCGTGACCCCATGGACCAGAGCACACAAGGCCCTCCTGTCTTCCACTGCCTCCCAGAGTTTGGTCAAATTCATGTTGGTAGCTTCAATGACACTGTCCAACCATCTCATCCTCTGACATCCCCTTCTCCTCTTGCCTTCCCACAGTCCAGGGGACTCCCAAGAGTCTCCTCCAGCACCACAATTCAAAAGCATTAATTCTTCAGTGGTCAGCCTTCTTTATGGTCCAGCTCTCACTTCCATACATCGCTACTGGAAAAGCCATAGCTTTGACTATACGGACCCTTGTCAGCAAGGTGATGTCTCTGCTTTTTAAGATGATGTCTAGGCTTGTCATCACTTTCCTCCCAAGAAGCAGGCGTATTTTACTTTCGTGGCTGTTATCAGCATCTGCAGTGATCATGGAGCCCAAGAAGGTAAACTCTGTCACTGCCTCCATATCTTCCCCTTCCATTCGCCAGGAGGTGATGGGACCAGTGGCCATGATCTTAGGGGTTTTTTTATGTTGAGCTTCAGACCATTTTTTGCACTCTCCTCTTTCACTCTTATTAAGAGGTTCTTTAATTCCTCCTCCCTTTCTGCCACCAGAGTGGTATCATCTGCATATCCGAGGTTGTTGATATTTCTTTCAGCAACCTTAATTCCGCCTTGGGATTCCTCCAGTCCTGCCTTTCGCATTATGTACTCTGCATATACGTTAAATAAGCAGGGAGACAATATACAGCCTTGTACTCCTTTCCCGATTTTGAACCAATCACTTGTTCTATATCCAGTTCTAACTGTTGCTTCTTGTTCCACATATAGATTTCTCAGGACACAGATAAGATGGTCAGGCACTCCCATTTCTTTAAGAACTTGCCATAGTTTGTTGTGGTCCACACAGTCAAAGGCTTTTGTGTAGTCAATGAAGCAGAAGTAGATGTTTTTCTGGATCTCTCTGGCTTTCTCCATAATCCAGCGCATGTTAGCAATTTGGTCTCTAGTTCCTCTGCCCGTTCAAAAACCAGCTTGTATTTCTGGGAGTTCTTGGTCCACATACTGCTGAAGCTTACTTTGTAGGATTTTTGAGCATAACCTTGCTAGGGTGTGAAATGAGTGCTATTGGAGCATTCTTTGGCACTGGCCTTCTTTGGGATTGGGATGTAGACTGATCTTTTCCAATCCTCTGGCCAATGCTTAGTTCTCCAGACTTGCTGGCATATTGAGTGTAGCACCTTAACAGTGTCATCTTTTTTTAAAAAAATACTTCAACTGGAATGCCATCACCTCCACTGGCCTTGTTGTTAGCCATGCTTTCTAAGGCCCACTTGACTTCACTCTCCAGGATGTCTGGCTCAAGGTCAGCAACCATACTATCTGAGTTGTCTGGGACATCCAGATCTTTCCGGTATAATTCCTCTGTATATTCTTGCCATCTCTTCTTGATGTCTTCTGCTTCTGTGAGGTCCCTACCATTTTTGTCCTTTATCACAGTGGTCCCCAACCTTGGGCCTCCAGATGTTCTTGTACTGCAACTCCCAGAAGCATTCACCACCACTTCTGCTGATCAGGATTTCTGGGAGTTGAAGTCCAAGAACATCTGGAGGCCCACGGTTGGTATAGCTTTATCATGTCCATCTTTGCACAAAAATGTTCCTTTAATATCTCCTATTTTCTTGAACACATCTCTGGTTTGTCCCTTTCTGTTATTTTCCTCTATTTCTTTGCACCGTTCCTTTAAGAAAGCCCTCTTGCTATTCTTTGGAAGTCTGCATTTCTGTAAATTTCCCTATTCTTCTTGTATTTGGTATCTCTTCTCTTCTCTGCTATTTGTAAGGCCTCATTGGACAGCCACTCTGCTTTCTTGCTTCAGGCACTCTGTCCACCAAATCTAGTTCCTCAAATCTATTCTTCACTCCCACTGTGTATTCATAAGGGATTTGGTTTAGATTATACGTGACTAGCCCTGTGGTTTATAGCTTGAGTTTTGCTATAAGAAGCTGATGGTCAGAGCCACAGTCAGCTTCAGGTCTTGTTTTTGTTGGCTGTATAGTGCTTCTCCATCTTTGGTGGCAGAGAATATAATCAATCTGATTTCGGTATTGCCCATTTTTTGAGTCTTTTTGGCAATGCATACGGGGCCATCTGACTTTTAACCTTAATCTAAAAATGTTACTGGTTGTGGGTTTTTTTTTTCATACTATGAGAAACTACAGTAAACAGAAATTTTCCACAGTAAAAAAGGTACAGATATTGGCAGCAGATAATGTGGTTTCAGCTACAGTGAAAGTGTGCTGGCATAGATCAAAGACTTATCGGAATCTTGTGGTTTCCATCCAGAAATTCTCAGGTATGGTACCAGCTCTTTTTATTGACACAGTCTTGCTTTTTGCAACACACATAGGTTGAAAGCTATGATTATGAGCTATGCTAATGTCAACATACAGGCTTTGCACAGCAAGTCTGTGCATGTCTGGCAAGGCTTTACTGGAAATCAGAAAATGTGCTGCTGGAAGCTATTAGAAACCAAAACAGACAGATTCTGCAACAAAATGGTGCAGAATGGAGTGCTTCTGTTAAATTCGCTATCAGACATTCAACCAGCTATTCCTCTCTTAAGAATGCTACTACATGGCATCTCTCAGAAGATTCTCCTGTTAAGAAGGATTATGGAGTACATTCACCACTATATAGGCAAACGTTTAGTGTCTACCTATTTATTTAAGCATCTGGTAGAATAAAAGCAAGGCTGTTTGCAATCAATAAGACATTATAGATACACCACTACAACGTTGCATAGCAACATTTAAAACAATAAAATCAATCACAGTAAATAAGAGTCATATCATTAGTCATCAGAAGTACAGTCATCCATTCAAATACAGTATGTGACAACTAATTTGAACAAGAAGGTTTCAGAAAGATAACAAATTTGTATCCAGGTGGATTTCAAAGGGGAGGAAGTCTGAGTCATCAGAAGGACAGTCATCCATTCAAATACATGTGACAGCTAATTTGAACAAGAATGTTTCAGAAAGATAACAAATTTGTGTCCAGGTGGATTTCAAAGGGGAGGAAGTCTCATAATAATTTGTAGACCCATCAGAATTTTTACAAAGGAAAGCATATCAATCACATTGCAACTAGTTATTTCCAGCAAGGAAAATAACTGCTACCAAATCATTGCCATTTGGCCATAAACAACAAGAAAAGGGAAGAAGAAGAAAGGAGCAGCAGCATCAAGAAATCAAGAAAAGCATTAAATTTGGATTATGATGTCATCTGGACTCCAACACATGACAAAAATATGTGTGAAGAACAAGGTAGGACGATCAAATCCATTCAATGAAATTTAACAACAACAACAAATACTCTTCCCAATTTATGTCATGGGGAGGACAAAGACCCATCAGCTCAGTAAAAAGTTTTTAAAAAAAGACAAAAACATAGTGGTGCCTTAAAGACTAACTTTTATATTTTCAATGTGAGCTTTCCTGGACAAGTCCACTTAGATTTAAGAGTTTTTCTTCTTAGTTCCTCCACCGGTGCCCTTTGAAGTCTCAGTCTTTCCATTTCTTGGTGGCAATCTCCCTTGGAATTGATGCTATAATTGTTGTGGGTTTTTCTATTCCACCAAGTCGCTTTCTAGTTAGGGTGACCTTTTGAATTAATAATCTCCAAATCCTATTGTTCAGTTCTTGCAAGTACAAGGCCGTGGCTTCTCCTCTTGAGTCAATCGATCTCTTATTTGGTCATCTTCTTCTGTTGCGTTCAACTTTTCCCTGCACCACTGAAAGAATTGTCAATGACCAAAACAAACAAACAAAAACAGCCCACGAAGAACCACCCGCAGGATCCACTTCGGCCAGCAGGGGTCGCACCTTCCCTTTAGTTCCGCCTCGTTCGCGTTTCATTCATTTGTTTCAGGTTCCATTGCCATCGCAACCAGCGGCTCTTGACACGGCGGGAAGGCCGGTGGCCGCTGCAGGCGGCGGCGGCGGCGGCACCACCGCGATGGAGAGCCAGGCAGCTCCCTGTTGCAGCACGAAACTGTCGGAGGTGTGGAAAGTGCAGGGGCTCCCCGGTTCCGTCGGGTCCTGAGAGAGGGTCCTTCCCCGGCATCAACTGCGTTTTCCGCGGGGCGGAGAAAACTTTCGACCGTGTCAAGGCGCCGAGTGGCCGGAAGAGGGCGCCGCGAGCAGACGAAAGGCGCCCCTGCCGGCGGGGCGAAGGAAGCGCAGCCATGGGTAGCTCCGCCACGAAGGGCGGGCCAGTCCGGCAGGCGCCCCCTGGTCCCTTCGCCTGGCAGCCAGAGGTGAAGGCGAAAGCCCGGCCCTCCAGAGGTGGGTCGTGCCCCACCCCTGGCGTTGGAGGGTGAGCGGGAGGGAGGGAGGAGAGAGGGTGATGCGTTTGGATCCACAGTCAGTGCCTTTAAAAAAAAATCACATCATATTTAAATGAATATCATTAATAAGATGTATCTGTCTTAATTACTGATAGTGAGAAGGGTTCAGAAGGCTTAGGCACCTTTAGTAAGGCCAGCCTTATCACTAGACAGAGTGAGGTGGTTGCCCTCAGGCGACGCACAATTTGGGTCTCCTCCCGAAAGGGCGACTGGTGTCATTTTAGTTCCAGCGAAGGGAAGAGGTTCCTGTGGGATTTCTCCGCCTACTGTGCCAAAAGCATTTGGCTGACCTGCAGTAGCATAAAAACAAAAAACCAAGCCGATACTTTGAACTTGAGTCTCGGAAATGGATCGGGAGTCCTTAAAGACCTAAATCGTGGAGGACCATTCTAACTGAAGCGGCATCTGCTCCCCTATGTTCCTGCCCAAATATTCAGATCACCTTCAGAAGGCTTTCTCTGAGTACTCGTGCCCATAATGGTGCGGCAGGCAACTATCAGCAAAAGAGCCTTCTCTGGAATGGCCTCCCTCTCTGTGGAGTCCCCTCCCAAGAGACCAGATGGTAACTTTTTTTTTCTTGGCAGGCATTCAAACTCAGATTTTCTTGATGGTGCTGCTGCTTCAGTTTTATGGATGGATCTTAACACCTATTATAGTATTTGTAGCTATATTGATTATATTGTATTGTGAACCATCCTGACGGCTTTGCCATTTGGGTAGTATCTAAACGTATAAAATGAACGAATTGAGTAGGGCGAAGAAGTATAATAATCTTAGAACTGCAGAGCTGGAAGGGACCCTATAGGTCATCAAGTCCAACCCTTGACAGGGAGGCAAGGTGAGGAATCGAATTCCCAACCTCTGGCTCCACAGCCAGAGGCCTAAACCACTGAGCTCTCCAACAGTTCTTGACAGACTAGTCCCAGGTTGCCCACTGAGAGTTTTGGGATTGGCACAGGTCAAAGGTTGTTCAAATTGAGGTTGCCACAAACTTTTGCATATTTGTAAATGTGGACTGGGGAAGGGTTGTAGCTCAGCTGCATGCAAGAGGCTTGATGTTAGGCTCCTGGTATCTCCTGACTGTAGAACGTTGGAGAGCTGTTGCCAAAGTTTCTTGAGTGAGATGAACCCAGAATCCCTAAGCGGTCATGCTGATTGTGAGGTATTTGGACATCAGCATCCAAAAACTCAACTCTGCTACCATATACTGTAACTGGATAGGAATATGTAGTTAAACATTCAAAATGCTTCACAAACATACTCCATTCTAATCCTTGTAACAACTTTTTGTGGTGGATCAGTGTATGTAATACACACTCCACACACAATCTCAGCTGGTCCCTCTACCAGGAGGGATTGTGGGGAATTGAACTGCAGGAGCTCCAACTCACTGAGCCGTAGCATCTCTTAAAATCTCTATATGTGGAGGGGAAACCTCATACAAAGGACCAAGGGAGAAAAAGTCATTTCAGAAATGTAGTTCTGGCCTTCAAAGAGCCTCACAAAGGCTAATTACCCATAGCTACAAATAGGCAGCAAATCCCTTTCTTTCTGTGGCGTAAGAACCCAGACGTCCATGAAAACAAAATGCAGAAATACTGAGAGGAAGAGCAGTAGCATCAACCAAAACACTTTCTGGCTTGTTTGTTTGTTTTGTTTTGTTAAGTTTCATTTTTTTTAAAAGAAGGGAATCGCTTTCTATTACAGGCTATTTTGGTAAGTATAAAAAGTCTCAGTGTTACAAAATACAGTACAAAATACAGATCAGAGATTTTGAAATGTAATTGTAATTTAGGAAATTACTTTCTGTAAATAGAGATGTTTCTCTTGTGTCCTGAGTTGAATATTAGATTATGAAATACATCTTGAACTTTAGACGTAGGTATTTATCTATACATCTGTCTGGTCTCCTTTAAAATTTTAGTTTGTTTAGAATAATTTTATTTGTAAACATTGCATCCTTGGTACAAAGGGTTTTGGAGATGTAGCTAGAATCGGGGAGAGAGAATATCAGTTTGAAGTCAGGGAACTTAAGAGAACCCTGGGCGAAAACCTCTTTGTGGGCAAAAATCTACCCAGGAACCTAGTGGGATGGCAGTATATGTTGCAATGTTATTTTTATAAAAGCACATCTATGCTTAACCTGCAGATATGTGTAAGCAGACCATCTGTAGGTACCCAGTGTAGTATAATGAACAGAGTGACGTACCATGACCCAGGAAACCTGAGTTCAAATCCCTGTTCAGCCATGGAGACTCTCTCTCTCTCTCTCTCTCTCTCTCTCTCTCTCTCTCTCTCTCTCTGTGTGTGTGTGTGTGTGTTGGTACTGGTAAAACCCACTCCTTACATATCTAATTTCCAGTGAAAGCCTGTTAGCTTTGCTATAAATCAGTATAAATCAGTTCTGACTTGCCAGCACATAGCATCACAACCATATTTATTTGTGACAACCATTTCTCAGTGGCTTAGGTATCTGGCTGTGGAGCCAGAGGTTGGGAGTTTGATTCCCCACTATGTCTCCTTGACTGGGGCTAGATTCAATGATCCATAGGGTCCCTTCCAGCTCTGCAGTTCTAAAATGGTTTATTTGGTTGTAAGAGAGACAAAGACAGAGACAGATAGAGACAGAGAGAATCTTTGTATACTTCATTCCAAGAAAGCAAAACCTGATGTAAAACCACGAACCATTTGTGGCTCAGAAAACAGGGGTATGAGTTGTATTCCCCAAAACAGGCGACTCTTCCAGGCTTTGCAAGGCCATGAGATCCTGCCTTCCAACCCTATTAGCCTATGTATGGGAGGAATGTAGTCTGTGATCACCCAGATTGGTTTGTGGCTAGCAAAGACAGGAAGGACTAGGGGGCACCACAGCAAAGAACAAGGAGGAAAGCAAGCAAACAGCCTGTAATGTGAGTCAGAGCAGCATGCTGCCTTGTGTCCCATACCAGAGTGGAAGGAGGAAACACGCCAGCAGATCTTCATCAGAGGCAAATTATTTCCAGTTCCTGATGTTAAGATTCATTCCATCCCAAATGAGACACATGTGAGAATTGTTGGTTAAATCCCCTACAGGGTTTGAAACCGGTTGACCAATCCCATTAGATTCATAGTTTCACAGTCCCTGCTAGAGTTGAAACAAGGACAGAAGAATTAAGTCTAGATTAGATCAGTTGAGAATGTTGGTATTTGAGTCTCTCTCACACCATTTCCCCCCACAAATCCTGTAGTTGGAAGTAGTTTCTGAGCTACTGTGAAGCACCAGATTGTTTCATAAAATAAATACTTGAAAATCTGTGAAACATGAATGGAAGGGTCAGGCAAGAAATGGCAAGAGATGTTCATCATTTTACCCTGTGCTAAATGACAAATTCTTGTCATCCAAGCTACCAACATGAATTTAATCCAACTCCTGGAGGCAGTGGAAGACAAGAGGACCTGGCGTTCTCTGGTCCATGGGGTCACAAAGAGTCGGACACGACTTAACAACTAAACAACAACAACAAATGACAAATTCTAGGATTTTATGGGATTTATAAGATGCTTAAAGGAATTTAACAAGTGAAACACAGGGATATCTGTGCCCCCTCATATTAAAATAAATCCCAGAATTACTATTTTAAAGTTATATTCATATTCTATATTGATTCACAGAGACATTTTTCTTTTTTTCATTGAAAATGTATGTATAATAGCTCACACAAATCCTCTGTATGCACTAGATATGCAGGATATCTATCAAGATAGCTGAGCTAGCCTTTGATACACATGGTTATAGAGCTTTTTCCATCTGTGCCTACCAATTTTTTATCTGGGACTAGAGCCAAAGTGAAGTAAATGATTCAAAATCTGCTGGTAACTTCCCTTTTTTAAAAAAAAAAAAATCTAAAATCTTTCCCTGGTTTCCACTGATTTTCTACACTGTAGAAGATGCTCTCTGGCAGTGGTTTTTCAATCTTGGGTCCCCAGATGTTCACACACCTCCCAGAAGCCTTCACCACCAGCTGTGCTAGCCAGGATTTTTGGGAGTTGTTGTCCAGGAACATCTGGGGATACAAGGTTGGGAACCACTGCTCTAGGGCAGGGCTGGTAAACTTTTGGCAGTCCAGATGTTTTGGACTGCAGCTCCCAGGATCTGCTCCTGAGGTCAGAAGTGGCAGCAGTGGGTAGATATGTAGAGATGGACATTTTGACTTAACATTCTAAAACTTGTAACCGGAGAAGCTGCGGGATGGTGAAACAAACCACCTCACAGAGTGAAGAACTACCTTTCCCTCGGGAGCAGCAGAGTTTGGACGGCCATCTGTGACTGAGGTTGGGTGGCCTGGCAGGTTTCCTCCATCCTAGGCTTTGTGAACTCCAGACTCTCGTTGTTGCTTGAACTAGCCTTTATTAGGGTCAGGGAGTCAAGAACCCCATCAGGTTAGGTGCCTTGATCCCTCTGTCTCAACAGTCCAGGGGGGATAAAGTTTCCTTCACCAGCCCCCTGTTGCTTACTGTCCTTAATGGAATCTCAGGTCCCTTCGCTGATCCACCAACATCCTCAGCCCAGCATTGGGACTGAGTTCTCTGCACTGACCCCAGCCAGCCAATGCACTTCTGGGAGGACTAGCAACACCAGGTTGATGAAGGTCCCCCTTGTCCCAGCAACTCTTCCTGCTCAGTGCTACTGCCACTGTTGGTGCCACTTTCTCCTCCAGTGTCACTTCTGGACAGCTGTGGGTCTCCTGGGTTGTAGCTTGGTCGGGCAGTGGGGCTTAGGGAGGGAAACAATGGATCCTCCCCCTCCTTGTCGAAGCTGACCCATTCACTGGCCCAGAGGTCCTAAAGCAGCAGAAGCCAGTTCTTGCCCAGGTCACAGACGACTGGAGGGGTCTCCGGCCAGTCCCCCAACCACATGTCCCATTACAGTGACAAGCTGTCCCCCCATCCTCATCCTCCTCTCCCTTTAAGCCCAATGCCTGCCATTCTGGACCCACCATGGCCTGACTCACCAGGTGTGGCTCATTACCTGCCAAATTCCCACCTGGGGATTGCTCTTGCTTTCCACCCTGCCAATGGGGTCTCCAGGTGGTCCACTGGGGCCAGCCAAAGCATCCCCTTCATACCACCCTTCAATGATGCAATACTTCCATCCTACAATATAGATCCTATATTGAATGGGGGTTGGACTAGATGACCTTCAGGTTACCTTTTAGCTCTTAAAATCAGTGACCATAGCTTGTGCTTCCTCAAACTGAACATACAGAGGCTTCACACATTTCATTTCATTATCTTGAGAATGAAGTATACATGTGCTAATCTTCATCTTCTTAACCTGACTGCAATATGTATAGACTTTAGATGTATATTGAGACAGAAGCATTTATATATTAGTGATAAATATGAGCTAAGATACTTCATGAAGGCAACCAGAAAGACAACATGAAATATTCTTTTGTTCTAATGCAAAACACAGAAATATGCAGCTGCTGTCAAGAAACTGATTGTGCTGAGAGCATTGGACCTTCCCAGCGCTTTGCAGAGCTGAGAGAACGCACCAGTGTCAATAAGGATTCAAGTGAGTGCAGATGAAAGAAAGCTTTTTGATCATGGAAAGAAGGGGGGGAATCAATCACCAAGTTAGAATTTGGTGTAATTACGTGGAAGAAACATGACAGGATCTCCTAATGTTTTATTTTCCTTTTCTACAAATGTTGGGAGGCTATGAACGTGCATAGATCAGAAGTACCAGGAGATTTTATCTTTTATTCTGTTCAGTGTTTCTCAGTCTAATGTGTCCTGCTGATATTGTCGTAAGCTACTATAGTTGTGTCAGAGTCCAGAGGACTCCTTGATACAGGTGGGGGGAGGGGGAACGGGACTTATCTTTTGAAGTGAAATGTGTGTATTGCCCTTGGATGGACTGAGAATGTCTTAAAGCCAAAATCATCAATCGGACTTACAGCCAAATAAGTGTGTATAGGACTGTAGTCTGAAAGATCTATTACACACAATTCCCGTGATGTACTTTTTAAAATCTTCATTCAAAAAATGATCAAACGGGACCACTATTTCCACCTACCTAGCCTGCAGAAATGACAGCAACTACAGAACTAGAGACTAGGGTTGTGCTACTTGGGTGTTTTTTTTTAAAATCCCAACTCCCAGAATTCCCCAGATAGAATTCCAGGAATTGCTGCCTATAAACAGACATCTGCAGATACCTGCACATGTCTACAGTTCACTCACCTAGAACAGGCTCTCTTAGGCTGACTTCCTTTAAAAATAAAAAAAACACCAAGCTGACCCAGTGCTTCTTGAGAGGCCTAGGTCTTTGTAAACAGTGTGGTTTTGCTTATTATGCTCTTTATATGGCAGCCCTAAAGAATTATGGCCTCCTAAGAAGTACTTGGGCCGTTTCTTTTGTCCCAAGAAGTAGTTCCGAGACGGCCTGGAAGAGAGGGCCTGTGACAAATGAATGAAATGTAGGGGTCTGTTGGTTTGTGCCTATGGGCAGGATCTCCCCGACTTCAGCCTAGGGAATTATTCGAGAATTTTGAGAGTTGGAGCCACTACCAGCCCTATGAATGGCACAACCCAGTGGGGACGCACTGCGACATGGGGATGGAAGGGAAGGACTGAACAAAGGGTGGGAAATATGCCCTCCCTCTTATTAGCGGGGATGTTGGCGAATCTTTGGGTCTGAGTCCCAAGTCAAAGCCCAAGACTTTGGTACCCAATCTGAATCTTTGGTTGCAAGTCCTGAGTCCCAAGACCCAAGTCTGAGTCCCTGCTCCCCCCCCAAAAGGGAGGGGTGGGTCGGTTCCAAGTCACAAATCGAGTCCAAGTCATTGGGGGGGAAAAATAAAGTCAAGCCCAAGTCAAGTCACTGGTGTGACTTAATTCTGACAAGACAGTGAGTCCCAGGACTTGAGTCCCCATCCCTGGTCAATAATGGGAGCACCAGAGAGCAGAACAGGAGTCCAGCAAATCTGGAGGGACAACCTACTCCCCATTTTTTAGTTAAATCCATTTTCATTAGTGTTGCTACTTGGGATAAAACCACTGTAATCAATATGTTTAGCACTCTTTTTTTTTTTTTTAAAGGAGTGCTTTCTTGTGTAATGCATCTGGAAGTTGAGTCATGGCAAGTGGACTTCTCTTTTGTTAGGTTGAAACATTTCGCAACTCATCCATCATTTCAACCTAACAAGAAAGAAGTCCAGTTGCCATGACTCATCTTCCAGATAGCCTCACCTAGATGACTGAGAATCTTCACAGATATAGCTTGTGTAATCCAAGTTGTCTGTCATAACACAATCATGTATCTTGTATTTAGAATATTTGTTCATTTGAAGATAAACAGGGTCCTAATTTGCAGGTTTGATTGCTTAGCCATGAGTCCTCGGGGAAATCCTGTTGCGGAAGGGGAAACAGCTTAAGAGAAGGAAATAGACTTTCCCTTATTTTAACAGACTTAAAGCCTGACTTGCCCATGTCTCCCTGAAAGCAAAAAAATCAAATAGTTAAGGAATCTGGTTATGAAACTTTTTATAGCTTGTCCATGAGACTTGTTTATTCATCTTTGCAAGTGTAATGTTTGAAGAACATTCAAGAGCTCTTTGCTGCAGCAGGATCTGAAAGCTAACCTTCCCTGGCCCTGTTGGCATCCAGCCTTGCTCCTCTGAATGATACAGAGTGCAAGTGGCTCTCAAGAGAAGCAGGATCAGATGCTTACCTCTGTCTGAATGAGTCCTGACAACACCCAGGCCACAACACCTGGGTCTGACAAAAGTCTCCACACTCAGAACCAGGCATTTGGGTCTGCATGGCACTGAAGAACACCTGGATAGCTGTCTTGCTTTGAGGGTGCCATACGAAGAAGATATCAAGGAAGTGGGTAGTCCAGGGAGCTCTTCCAGATGCTGTCTCTCTCAGTAGCATTTATGGGGGAGCTTGGAATGCTACACAGTTTCTATGCATGGCTAGAAGACTTGAGCATCTGCCGTGATGCCTCTTGATTCCCTTGCAATGGAGGGAGTGTGTGGTTCAACATCCCTCCTAATCTACCACCTGAACACCTAGATTCATTGCTCCAGTTTGTTGGCATTTTTCTTGAAGTGTTGTGTCCAGAACTGCCTCATGGTAGGGTCTAATTCTGGTCAACATAAGCAGAAGCTTCTTTAAGCTTCGTATATGAAAATGCCCTTACAAATCTGAGGTTGGACAATGAAGAATTGACACATTGGGTAAAATCCTCTTACCTGGTTATAACTGCATATAACAAATGGCCTTTACTCTTGAGTTGTCTTGAGTTAAAAAATCACCATGGATCCTATCTTTTGCATACTGAGTTGGGTGACTCAGTGTGGAATTCATGATATCTATGGTGATTTCTTACCTTGATGCTTTCACATATGTACAAAAGCTACACAAAAGGATTTTTGTTGATACATATTCTACTTCTTTTGAAAGCCGTCACGTTAGTCTGTCTGAGGAAAGACAGGAGGAAAAAACCCACAGCCTTGTGGTACCTTACAAATTCTTTATGGCATGAAGCTTTCATGGAGCATGTGATGCATCTAATGAAGTGGACACTTGTGAAAGATTACCGACATTATTAGCGCCATACTAAATCTATTAGTGTTTAAAGTCCACAAGACTCTTTACTGAGTAATTTGCCAGATGCGTTACTGAAACAGAAGGCTGCTTTTTGTAGTTGAGTGCTTCAATAATCAGAGATGTGCTTAGATGGTGATGGAAGTTTCGGTTCAATGTATTTGAAAATGGAGAAGGCTATCTTTAGATGACCCCATATAATAAAAAGAAGCCTCTGCATCTAAGCAAATTTATGCAGAACACAAGTTCATTTGATTACATTGTTTCCATATTTGATTGCAAAGGAGACTTTAACCCCCATTTATATAAACAGTCAAAGTGGGCAGTTAAAAGCTTCCAAAGGCTTATCATGTACAGTTAGTTCTGTACACATAAAAGGCAGGAATAGAAAATGTATGGAGTTTTTCCACCTTCTTTCTTTTTCCATAGATAAGTGCTGTTGCACTATGTAAAAATAGCATTTGGTCTTCATTTTAATGGGGAGGCTAACATTACAAATGGAAGCCAATTATACTTAATGGCACAAAAATATGTCCTAAATGGGAAGAGAATGAAATGATGAGCACAACCTGTATAGCTGGCTTTGTAGTTTGTGCTCCATCTGCCAAGTGGAAGATCAACAAAGACCAAGAGCTTAATCTGTACAGTGGGAATCACATATGTATTAGAAGCACCTTTGGTCCCACTTTGAGTCTCCATGTGGACACCTGGTTACAGTAAGCAAAGAGAATGCTGTTAGGAGAGCCAAAAGAAGAGGGGATAACAGAGTCGTTGCAAAAATCCCGTCTTAAATAAGTGTTATGTGCCTTAGAACAGGGTTGAGAAACCTGTGGTTCTCCTGGTGTTTTCAGACTACAACTTCCATCATCCCTAACCATTGTGGTCATGCAGGCTGGGATTTTGTCCCATTGTTTGATCCAATCTGGGAGGCTGGTTCCCTCTTATTCCCAGCAACCATATAATATATGGGCCATCACAAACTAGCCCATCATTGATGCCTGCCTGCCTGTGCCTTTTTGGCTCTCTGTTGGTGGCTTTTTCTCTTTTGGTGCAGGTAGGGTTGTTCTGTTTTGGTTCGGTCCCAGAAGGTGTGAGTACTGGGAATGAACTAAGGTGGCTGGCTTAAGCTGTCTGCTTAAGCTGCTTCATGATATTGGGAAATAGAAAACTTCTGCTCTTCTGTGGAGCGGGGAAGGGGAGAGACAGGAAACAAAGGTGTGCTTTTAAAGCCTTGCAAAGCAGCACTGAAGTGCTATGCCTTTTAGATTTGTTTTGATTGAAAGCTTCTTCCTAGAAGAAGAAAGTGGCAGGAAGCAACAAGGAGGGGGATTTTTAAAATTATTATTTCCCCCCCTGGTTTCCTCCTTTCTGTTTAAAGGGAGGAAGGGCCAAATAGGGTTGCTTGAAGTGCCGTGTGGTTCCCTGACCTGAAACCATCTGATCCTTGCATCTGAATGCAAGGATCACACCAAATTTATTATTTATTTATTGTATTCATTCGATTTATACCCCGCCTCCCCTAGACAGCGTACTACACCTCTCTGTAACCTGAAGTGACCTTACTTAGTCTGCTCCATCCTGCTCTGATTTGCCTGTCTAGTCACACACAAATGTTTGTGCATAACACAGTCTCTCTGAAAGATAAGGCATAAATAACTGTGTTGAGTGGCCCCAAGTAGACACTTTTGCTGAAGTACGCAAGAAGTACCATTTCGATTCGGCCAAGGTTCACTGAGTTAAGTGTTCTTTGGAAGAATCCCAGTAACAGCAAATGCTTGCTTTCCAACAAGAAAATTGGCCAGTAGTCCATTGATGAACTACAGATACGTTAGGAAAAGGATTGGTACCCATTAGTAGAACATACGCTTTGCATGCATGTGTTCAACCCACTAGAGACCCTCCTCACTTAATGACTGAGTTCTGTTCCCACGACTAGGTCGTTAAGCAAACAGGTCAATT